CCGCCGCCCTCAGGCAGCCGCAGTGCCGCCTCGGCCTCCTGCCTCTCCCCCTCCTCTCCTCTCCTCTCCCCTCCCCTCGAGCCCCTTCCCGGCTTGGTCCGTCCACACGTGCATTTGCCCGCAGCCTTTGGGAGAGAAACAGGCTGAGCGGGGCGCGCTTTGCCAGGCGGGTTCAGACCCTTTCCTTTAGGACCAAGGTCTTTCTGCCCCCTCTTCTCAGGCGGGGTTAGTAGGTTCCTGCGACCGTGGGAATCCCTGCCCCATCTCGGAGACGGGAAAGGCCTGCGGCGGGCAGGCTCGACTGCTTGCCTGGCTCTGGCTGACTTGCGCGCATCCCGGTCCAGATGGGGGAGCACTTGGGGAGCACTTGGGGGAGCAGCGCATCTTGCGAACTAAGTTAGTTGGGGAACAGGTGGCTCGGATGACTACGGGCAAGGGCCCCGTGGGGATGCAAAAAAGAATGGAAGAAAGTTCTTCCGAGCCGCGGACGGGGCCCCGCTTTGATCCCTCCCGTGAGCCTCTGAATTTCGGGGCGCAAAGGCTGCAAAGGCCTCCCGGAGCCTTGACGGGCCGTGTCGGTTTCCTCAGACAATCGGAGTATATTTAGTTGTGGAAGCGGGCAAGACCCATCACAGCGCAGACAGCAGCCCTTGGGGTGCCAGTGCTCTCTGGCACTGAGTCCCCGCCTTTGGTGGCTGCAAGAACCTTAAAAGTTCCCTTTGGGGAAACTGGAACTGAAGTTAGCTAGACTTGCTCCGGATCCTTCTGCAAGACAGGCTTGTGCTCACGTGCAAAAGGACGCGTGTCTAACTCTGGGTCACCTGGGTTTACAGCCGTGTGAGAACGGCTCCGAGCGCTTTTTCGGAACGCTTCCCGGACCGGAGGCCCGTCGGCACTGAACAAAGAACGGGTTATTTCGGAGTAAACAGAGCTAGAAATCGGTCAAAGGCAAGGGGCCCCCTCCCCCTCCCCCCAACCTGCAGGAGCTCAACTGGGCCACAAGTTACCCGCAGTAACCCCCTTTTCCTCCCCCTACTATTAATTGCCACCATTGTGATTTACACACACAGTTATTCCGGAGTCCGTGTTGCGTGGCTCGCTGTGGGGTTGACACCCCCCTTGCTCACTCCGCCGGCTGTAGGAAAGCCCTGAGTTGCTCACGAAGTGGGGAAAAAGATGTGGAGGGGCAAAAGGGGCCGCTGCCGCCTTTGAACTTACTTCCGAGAAAGGGTGCAAGAACCCAAGGGGGGTGTGGTTGACTCGCAAGGAGGGTGCCTTCTACACGTGGACCGGAATACTGTAGATGGGGTGTAAATTCTCCCGGGGTTTCCTTCCTTAGGTAGCCATGAACTGCGTTCGCACGAAACGCTAATCCACAAACGAGGGTTGCGGGAACCCAGCTCAAGTGGTTAGGTGAAGGAAGCGAGCCATCCTTAGCCATAGTTTACTTAAGCACGGGCACCAGGGTCGTCGGAACGCAGCCTGGAGAGGGGGGGTGGTTGCAACTGCTGGGAGCGGGGAGACTGATTTCTCATCGGGGCAGAACTTTGCGCAGAAAATCCACTCTCGTTTATTCCCCCAGCATGTTCTTCTCCTCTGAAGCTCCTGCAGGAGCCTAACCTACTACCCCCCCGCCCCAAAAGCAACTAGCCAGGACTGAGTTCATAGAATGCACTAATGTATGTGGACTGTTTGTTTGTGGATCCACCACAGTGGCCAGAATGCCTTCCGCGACCCCAAGTACAACTCTTAGATCTAAATCACCAAATTACATGCACTAACCCCATCGCCAGGGCTGCTTATTCGCCAAGTTCTGACTACACAAACCATGGGTTCGCGCAACGAAGCCACCAGGCAAGAGAGGGGGAAGGGGGGAAAAGCCCCCCTCTTTTTTTTAACTTCAAATCGGAATTCAGAGCCTCGTTGGAAAACAAGCCACTCGCCTTCCCACTCAGCCCGGGGGGACTACAAGTCCCATTC